ACGGAAAGTAAAATGTGAGAATGGTTTACGTGTTTCGTTCCCCTCTTCCCCCTCCCCCGTCACAGGGGAACAGGTCAGTGCACTGAGTGTAGTTGTGGATTGTAAATAGAAGGTTTTCTTTGCCTTTGTGTGCATCGACTGATTTTATTCTCTCTGATATTATCCTAATTTTTAAATTTCATAGTAAATAAAATCAGGTAGATGCATGGATAACTTCTGTTGAAATTAGAGGACATGTTAATTGACTTGGTTTGTCTCGGGGAAATGACACTCTATTGCAATGCTGCAAGCTAACATAAATATTCTAGTACTTACATCTATTGATTAAAAGAATCCATAAATAGATGTATTTTTTGCAATAAATAATCCATATATTTAGTGCTAACAGATTTTGAACTGATATTGGGTTCAATGAGACGATTCAGGTTTTGAGCGGTGGGTGACTTGGTAATTGCTTTTAATGGGACAATTCCTTTCACTTCACCAAAGCTTGTGTCCGACAACTGGAACCAAGTATTGGTAATGATTTAAAAGCTGGCTTTCTGAATGTAAGCCCAATGTTAATACTATACTGTATTCTTTTATTCTAAAGATAAAATATCACGAGGCATGAATAAGGTAAATTAAGTTGGCGTATTGAGCAACAAGTGGCCTCTGCATTTGACTTCATGAGACGATTCACTGAATTTGACAAAACTTGTTCTCCGTCGAATGCTTCAGATCAGCCTGCCCTAAACTGAGTCACTAAATAAAAACTATGATTATGTATTCCAGTCTATATTGTTTAATTCACTGGTTTTAAATGAAAGAATGACAAAAGGCTTCTCAAATATAACTTATAAATTTGTGAATTCATTTGTTTGAAGAAAAAGATGTATCGAATAGTGAGTCAAGCAGACGAGTAGCTAATTAAGCGATTCAATGCTGGCAATGGAATGTTACTCGACTGAAGGAATCGCACTGGTGTGGCATTAGGGTATTGGTGACGACAAAGGGTGATCCATGAAGACCAACCCAGACCCATTTTTAACCGATTATTGATCAATTTGATATCAATATTTTTCAATCGAATCTCCTATTGATTCTTGGAGTTTTTGGAGTGCTGATTATGAAAACCACTTCCATTTCTACTCCAGACTTATATTTTCATCTCAAATTAGGACATTTCGGACCAAAATTTTCAGGTCGAGTTTTATATTGTTTCCTGCAGTGTTTGATGAGCTGAACTCAAAAATAACTTCCAAATTTTTCCCAGACTCACGCTTTACCCAATTTTGGACCAAAATTTTTGATTTGAGTTTGATGTTGATCCCAACAGTTTTTTGTGTGCTGATAACGAAAATCACCTCCATTTCGACTCCAGACTTATATTTTCATCCCAAATTAGGTCATTTTGGACCAAAATTTTCAAATCAAGTTTTTTATTGTTTCCTGCAGTTTTTGGTGCGCTGAGCTCAAAAATGACTCCCAAATTTTTCCCAGACTCACGCTTTACCCAATTTTGACCAATTTTGGACCAAAATTTTGGAATCGAGTTTGACGTTGATCCCAACAGTTTTTAGTGTGCTGATAACAAAAACCACTCCCATTTATACCCCAGACCTACATTTCACTCAATATGGGCCCACAAGCTGCAGTCCAAAGTGCACAAATTCGCATCGCTCAGCCACACTACGCGCCCACACAAAACGGCGCGTACCCCTAGTATTACATGTATTACAAGTAATATATACTACTCCGTACACGGCCGGGGAGAGTTGACGACCCCTCGGTCATCAGCTGGGTTCTCAGTGGGAACATCCTGTGCGATAGTTGCTCTGTGCTTGGGTGCCTTCTTGGATTCCAATAAATACACACCATCCTGTGCATTCGCTGTCATGTGCACCTGGCCTGCAACTTAAAAATCATTAACATGATACATCCGACAAGCATCTTCATCAAACACTAGACGCCAGCCCTTGGCAGCCAAGCCATGGACAGAAAGAAGGTTAAAAGCCACTTCAGGAACCAAAAATGCATCTTCAATGACTCTGTGAACGTTGTCAATCTCAATGGGAATATTCCCCTTGCCTCTTGTCTCAATAGAAGAGTTGTCAGCAATATAAACACCATGGCCGCTCACATCTTGCAAAGATTCAAACAAATCTCTTCTTCCAGACATATGATTTGAGCACCCAGAATCAACAACCCAAGTGGTGTGCCTAACATGGCTGACATTCATAGCTACCAACTAAGCGCTGTGCTTCCTCTCGTGCTTCTTAGAAGGCTCCGGTTTTCCACCGCCAGAGTTTGAATCGTGCTTCCCCTTCTCCTCTGGGCACTTGGATCTGACATGTCCAAGCTTCTGGCATCCAAAGCATTTGGGCTGCCACTTCTTCTTGCCGTTGTTGCCAGCAAATAGAGCCGTTGTTCCTGGAGCATTAGGGATATTAGTACGAACTTCAGTAGACAGTAGGCGAGTACGAACCAAGTCAGAAGTAATCGCAACATTTGAGTTCTCAATAGCCATTACAAAGGATTCATATTTAGGGCCAAGGTTGTTCAGCATAATAACCCCAACATATTCATCGGATAATGGAGATCCAATTTCCTTCAACTGTCTTGCTGTGCTCATCACATTGTCAACATAATCCCTCACACTGTTGAACTGATCCATCTTCACATTCATGATGTGCCTCTGTAGACTCATCTTCCGGCCGAGTCCCTTCGATTCATAGGCTTCTGCAAGCGATTTCCAGGCAGCATTGGCAGTCGCCACATCACTAGGGATATTAATCTGAGCAGATTCGTCGACGTACAAACAGATCTTCGCCAAAGCACGGCCATCCAGCACACTATCGGGATCATTGACAGTTCCAGCAGCATACTCCCACAAGCCCTCGTGCAGCAACAGCATTCGCATGTTGAACTTCCATGAAAGATAGTTTTCAGGACCCTGAAGTTTTCGCACATTGCTAGGGAGACTGCCTCCACCACTCACGATAGTTCTCTCGTTGCTTGATCCGCTGCCGCTGGATTCGCCTTCATGGTCTTGTCGTCTCGCGTTCACCATGATGACAGCTGGCAGCTAACCTCTTCAAAACACGTGGAGTTCAGACTTCCGGTAATCTTCAAAGTATCGCAGCAGTCACGTTGTCTGGGTCCATAACCTATTAGAGGTTTATGAGGACTGGGCGGATACTTCAGTAAAGTAGAGTCAGTAACGAAACAAACGTGTTGAATTTAATGCGCAGATCAATCAGGAGAGCCGATACAAAGGAGGTCAGTCATTATATATCAAAAGATCAAAAAGAACAGGAAGAACATTTAGCCAATCAGAAACATAGACCAGGAATGACCATCAGAACTACCGACTGTAGGATACAAAATTATAATACAATAAAGATTAGTATTATGAGTGAAATTGTTATTGAAAGTAAATGGAATTATTGTATTAATGGTTTCCAGTGATGGTACATGACTCCCAGTGACATCACCAACTCAAAACTAACTTCGCTCAGTTGGGCGGCAGAGCACAAGTGAAATAATACAGGTCCTATACACTACACTGCTAAACCAATGCTCAGATAACATAAAGAGCAATAAAATGATACTCTTTCCTTTCAATCTACCTTCCCCTAAATGAGATTAACATGCCTAATAAATTATGAAAGTCCTGGAGGTGATAACAAAGTTTAAACCTATTCCCAGTCCAGAGACGGAGTTAGCAAACTTTAAATATTGAAACAACTATTTACTCCACCACTTAAACTAGGGGTACGCGCCGTTTAGTGTGGGCGCGTAGTGTGGCTGAGCGATGCGAATTTGTGCATTTCGGACTTTGCTTATGTAGACGAAATGTGCAGCTTGTGGGCTCATATTGAGTGAAACGTAGGTCTGGGGTATAAATGGAGGTGATTTTCGTTATCAGCACACAAAAAACTGTAGGGATCAACGTCAAACTCGATTCCAAAATTTTGGTCCTTAATTGGTTAAAATTCGGTAATGCGTGAGTCTAGGAAAAATTTGGAAGTCATTTTTGAGTTCAGCGCACCAAAAACTGCAGGAAACAATATAAAACTCGATTTGAAAATTTTGGTCCAAAATGACCTAATTTGGGATGAAAATATAAGTCTGGAGTCAAAATGGAGGTGATTTGCGTTATCAGCACACAAAAAACTGTTGGGATCATCATCAAACTCAATTCAAGAATTTTGGTCCAAATTTGGTCAAAATTTGGTAAAGCGTGAGTCTGGGAAAAATTTTGAAGTTATTTTTGAGTTCACCTCATCAAACACTGCAGGAAACAATATAAAACTCGACCTGAAAATTTTGGTCCGAAATGACCTTATTTGAGATGAAAATATAAGTCTGGAGTAGAAATGGAAGTGGTTTTCATAATCAGCACTCCAAAAATCAATATGAGATTCGATTGAAAAATATTGATATCAAATTGATCAATCATGGGTAAAGAATGGGTCTGGGTTGGTGTTCATGGATCACCCTTTGTCGTCACCAAATACCTTGATGCCACACCAATGCGATTCCTTCAGTCGAGTAACATTCCATTGCCAGCATTGAATCGCTTAATTTGCTATTCGTCTGCTTGACTCACTATTGGATACATCATTTTCTTCCAACTAATGAATTCACAAATTTATTAGTTATATTTGAGAAGCCTTTTGTCATTCTTTCATTTAAAACCAGTGAATTAAACAATATAGACTGGAATATGTAATCATAGTTTACATTAAGTGACTCAGTTAGGGGCAGGCTGATCTGAAGCATTCGACGGAGAACAAGTTTTGTCGATCGACTGAGCCGTTCAGGAGGAGTAGTGTACACACACAGACAGACAGACAGACAGAAAAAACTTTTCAACCGAACTGGAGTAACAGGCTTCGCTATCGCTCAGCCAGTAAACATGTCCTGGCCATAACTGATCCACAAAGCGGAAGAAGGGGTTAAGTCAAGTTAATTCAGTGACCTCTTATCAGTCTATCGAGGACACCATCAAGGCCATGCTGAAGGACGTCGAGTGCATCGAGCGCAGCCTGCTGTCTGACTGGCAGAAACTCGACGCGCTGCGCACGTTCGTCGTCCCCCAGGTGCAGTTCAGCCTCCTGACGGCCAGGGTCAAGAAGGAGGCCTTCGCCGAGCTGGACCGCGAGCTGAAGCGCGTCGCCAAGGACGCCATGCACCTGCCGCAGCGCGCCAGCGCCGAGCCCGTCTTCCTGCCGCCGCACAAGGGCGGCGCCAACATCCTTCCCCTCGGCGACCTCGCGGACGTCGGCGCCGTCGTGCACGCCTTCAAGGTGCTGACGTGCCCCGACCCCGTCGTCAGGACCGTCGCCGTGGCCAGCGCCAAGAGGACCGCCGGCCGCCTGCTGGGCCGCGAGGCCTCCGACGAGGACCTCGCCGCCGTGCTGTCCGGCGCCCCCACCCCCAAGGGCGTCCACAACGCGTCGAACATCTGGTCGGCGGCGCGGAACGCCTCGCGCCGGCTGGCCGCCAAGATCGTCGACTTCAGGTGGGGCTGGAGCCCCACGCTGGACCGCCTGCAGGTGCACGTGCCGTTCCCCGGCAGGGAGGTGGAGGGCGCCATCGTGGACGCCGCCTCCCGCCACCTCCTACACCACAAGATTCGCCAGGGCCTCCAGCACCGCCACCTACTCAACCTCATCGCCAAGCCGGACCAGGGCAAGGTGTACGAGGCCGCGTCCCGCGACCCCGCCTCCAACCACTTCCACGGCGCGGGTCAGTCCATGCGGTTCTGCGACTGGCGCTTCGTGCACCGCGCGCGCCTCGGCGTGCTGCCCCTCAACGGCTGCGTCCGGGGCATCCAGGGCCGCGGCCGGTCCTGCAGGGCGTGCGGCCACCCCGACGAGACCACCGCCCACGTGCTGAACCACTGCTTCGCGCGCCACTCCATCGCCATCAACAACCGGCACCGCGCCGTGCTGCGGAACGTCGTGGAGGCCCTGCCCGAGCCCGTCCGCCGCAACGCCAAGCTGGAGAGGACCGTCGCGGGCTCCGGGTCCGACGACAAGCCCGACCTGGTCGTCATCGACGAGGGCCTGCGGACGGCGGTCATCGTCGACGTCTGCTGCCCGTTCGACAAGCGCTACCACGCCCTGGAGGTCGCGCGCCGCTACAAGGAGACCAAGTACCAGCACCTCGTGGACCACCTGCGGGGCCGCGGCTTCGCGGCGTCGGCGCACGCCATCGTCGTGGGCAGCCTGGGCAGCTGGGACCCGGCCAACGACGCGGTTCTGGCGCGGCGGCTCTTCATCCTGCCGCACGCCATCAAGAGCCTCAAGCGCAAGTGCGTCAGTGACGTCATTCGCTGGTCGCGCGACCTGTACGTCGAGCACGTCTCGCAGAAGCGGCAGTTCAGCGAGAACGTCACGCTGCCCGCGCTGTGACTGTGACGAGCTAAGTGCACCCATGCTCTAATTCTGACTTTACGCCGCGAGTGCCCTGACTGCCCCTAATCCTGCTGGCTTGATGTGTTCCAGGGTCCGAGAAGCAACGTCACAGGTCCCTGGACACTCGCCAGCAGACGCCGCGCCGAACGCCTGCGCGGGGTAGCGTCGAGCAGACGACGCGCCGAAGCCACGTCCGGGGTATCGCCAAGCAGCCGCCGCGCCGAAGTCCCGCGCGGGGTAGCGCCGCCGCGCGCCGCCGCCTCACCGCCACCGACGCCGGCAAGGAGTATCGCCGGACGGCCGCCGGCAGCGCGGAGTACTGTCAGAGAAGGACACTCGTGCGCGGAGTAGCGCTGCGCTGCTCTGCCGAAGCTGCTGCGCTTTCTTAAAGTTATGTTCACTCTCAATTAATGTAACTAGCCCTGAGCTTTCTCTGCTTTTAATTCCTTTTGTACTTGTGTTCCAGGGACGGAGTCTTCAAGTGCGAGTCCCTGGTCACAATTTTATTTATTTTATTATTTAACTTAAACTCAATGTAAATTTCTTTCTACTTTCAAGACTGTGAACCAAGACACAGCTTATACTACTTGTACTATTTATTCTATACTCTTTTAATGTAACTTAATATCAATTTGCTCCTCAAACACTAGGTATGAAGTAACACGTTTGCAATGCTTCTTATTATTATTTCTAAACTGTAACCAACAAAACTTATTATGCAATAAAATGCTTTTTGAATACTGAAGTAAACATGAGCGAAAATTTGGTGCAAAAATTTGGTGTGGTGAGACAAGTCCCATCCTCTTGCATCTATTTTGAGGTGGCATTCCTTACCTGTTCTCCCACCTGCAAGGTTAAGGCCTTGCAAAAGTGCTCGGATTCAACTCGACTTATACCCTTCTTCCGCTTCCTGGATCAACTTTTCCGCATTCGTCCACAACACGAAACGCAAGGGGACCGGGTGATTCCGTGCGTAGAGGGTCATTTTGGATGTACGAAATGTTCTTTTTTAAAGTTCAACTTTAAGGGCTAAATTTGGTGTAGATGGCATACATAGTACCCCACAGTACCCCTCTGAGCGTGGCAGCACTACAAGTTGACTTTTAATTTCACCTCCTATGAAATACGGCGGATTTTACAGAAATAATGACGGAATTTACAGATTACGGAATTTACAAAGCGAAGTGTTTAGTCTCCTGACCCGCTGGGTTACAAGATAGGTAAAAACTGTTGACGGTGTCATTTTGAGCATCCAAAATAGCGTTTTTCAGCGAAGGTTGTGGGAACTTTCTCCCTCATATGCAGGAGCTACGGCCCGAAACGGAATTTACATCTATTTTTACACCCTTACCGTTTTGAACAATTCTGACGGCCTGGAAGCGTCGTTTGACCGCCCCAGGTCCCGCGGGCACGGGCTTCTGGAAGCGTTTTTATGTTCTTTCGATCCCCAGTGGCCGCGAGGTTCAAAAACGAAAAGGAACCCCAGTAGACCGTCAGTTGTGAAAGCAGCATAGATCACATGGTCACACGGTGGACATTTTCCCATAGGCTGTTTCGGGTTCAACAAGTGATGATACAAAGGTCACCTTCCGTAATTTTGCGAAGAATAAGTCAGGGAACAGAGTGAAATAGCCAGTTTTCTTTTGATGTGGCTGAGTCATATACTACAGCATAGCAATGCTGTCTTATAGGTGTTGGTGACCATGACGGACTTTACAAAACGACACTTTAGCAGCTTACGAAACCTAGAAAAACAAAAGTTAGATTGACTTATCCACATGAGGACATGGTCTTCGTTTAGTAAAACAAATTTGAATTGCCCAAGCTACCAAACCAACCTTAGTCCAGGCGCAAGGCCCCGGTGACCTGAAATGACCCCCTACGCACGGAATCACCCGACCAACACCGCAAAATCGTGCCAAATTGATTAGTTTTGGGGTTAATCGTTTCTGGTGTGCACCGTTCAAATTGAAAAAAAAAAAAAAACATTAGTGCGATTGTTTTTCTTTTCAAATATTTTGTTTTTCTTAGTAACAAAATGGTTTAATGCGGCTCAGAAGTTGAAACGAAGTATTTTGAGCATTTTTTAGTTTTTCACTTTTTGTCAATTCTGTCATTTTTCTACTAATTTAGTTATTTTTCTCATTATTTTAGGATTATAAATCCAATTTTTATCGGACCACCTTTTTCTTTGAACTGGTCTTTGCCTATTGCCTACAGATGATTCAGTTCAATTCTGGTAGCATTTGGTCGCACGGGACGCTTGCTAGGACTTATTCCCCCGAAAATTGCATTTTAAACCACTGTGCAGGACCCCTCGATGTTTAGTATGAATTTTGAACACGTTGTGAAAGTAGCTTTCACGCATTAAAATATGGTCCCCTGGCTTCGTTTTGCAGCATAAGGTATAAAATCAACTATGGGTCACGAATTAACTATGGGCCATTTTGTCAGACGGACCGCTACAAATCCATGAATGAGCGAATCTATTTTAAATTCGGTATGGGTCTTCCCTCAACCTTCCTTTGTCAGCTGAAACAGCGCAGATGTATGAGCGACTACCACAACGCCACCTATCGGACAGGGTCGCCGACGCTCTATGACAATAGTGGTTCCGGAGATAAGGTAAAAAATCAATTGTGGATCTTTTTTTTTATAAATGTTTAGTATGAATTTTGAACATGTTGTGAAAGTAGCTTTCACGCATTAAAATACGGTCCCTGGCTTCGTTTTGCAGCGTAAGGTAAAAAATCAACTATGGGTCACGAATTAACTATGGGCTTTTTTGTCTGACGGACCGCTACAAATCCATGAATGAGCGAATCTATTTTAAATTCGGTATGGGTCTTCCCTCAACCTTCCTTTTTCAGCTGAATCAGCGCAGATGTATGAGCGACTACTACAATGCCACCTATCGCACAGCAAAGAAAGTCCTTCAAAATTCAGGAACGCACAAAGTTTCGTTCAGGTGTGAGCAAGTGTTTTTATTTGTCTAGAGTTTCTCCGTCACAAGAAGGCCAATTCTTCGTGATTGCAGTCACCTGACTTCACCTGACTTTCAGTTTTCTGCGCGGACTGCATGCACCTGTACCCCACACCTGCGGCTGAGAGCCCAGAGGACCTTTGAACCGGGATGGCGCGTGTCGTCGGCTCCTTTTAAAAGACCTTATCTAGGCGTTCTCCCAAACAGAACCGCTCTAAAACGAAGGCAAATTTCACTCAATTTCATCAACTGATACAGCTACAAATCAAAAAATAATTTGTGATTCAATTCAAACAAACTTGAAGAAAAGGTAAAAAATCAATAAAGAGCCACTTTTTTTAAATGCACATTTAAAGTATAATAGACCAAATTAGACCAAGTATTCTTCGTTTCGCGGCAACAAGCAAAAAAACGTTCGGCTGCTTACGGCTGAACCACTCTGTTTGAGAATGAAAGTTTCTGAACAGTGTACATCTCAGTCAATACGAGCCCTTTGTTCGTCCTACATACAGCCCTCCTTCGCGGAAATTGTGAAAAGAACATTAGGATTGTCTGCGTTCTACACTGTTAACAATGTGTTGTGAATTTACGACAGAACGTTTCACGAAAATTGTGGGGAATTTCCAAACGTGCACTGTAAGTGTTAGTTTCGTACAGAGGGTTTTGTAAATCAATAGAGGCTCGTCGTAAATTTACAAAGGTTCAGTGTAAATTTACGATGGCAAATCGCAAATCTACGGAACTTGTAATTTCTTGTGAATTTGCGACGGGCCTTCGTAAATCTACAACGGGCCTTTGTAAATAAACGAAGGAACTGCTCGCAGTGTTTTTTGCCGAAGGATTTATCCTTATTTCCAGACGTATTAAGGGGGGACATCACTCCAAAATGGTCAAAAATTGCAACTTTTTTATTAGTTTATATTGTAGAACATTCTTTTCTGCGTCGAATGGTGAATACCGCATTCCGAAATTCAAAGAATTGCAGTTTTAGGAGGTTGTGGGCCGCAAACATGCATGCAGGCATGCAGGCCAGTTTCCCCAACTTTGATCGCGTTTTTCTCGGAAAATGAAATTGCAAACGGTTGCAGGCCTCTAGGGCGCAGTTTTTGAGCTACAGCGGGGAGATTTAACATGGAAGTTCCTACGCCATGCTGCTATGGTGGGTAGCAAAATAATTTGCATTGGTCAATTTTTATTATTTTTAACGTTCAAAAATGAACAATTTTGACCAAAAAACTTTAACAATTTTTTTTGGTTTGTAACAAATTTAACTTAAAATGATTTTTGGCTGAGCGATAGCGAAGCCCTTGCCGTGTTTGGGCGCTCCGAAAAGTGACTGGTCGTGCGTCTGTCTGTCTGTCTGTCTCTCTGTATGTAATCACTCACGTTTCTCAGCAACTACTGAACGAATAGTATCCAAATTTCACACCTGATGTCACCTAAACATCCTACAGGGGGAGTTTATCTCAGATTAACAATTATCATCGTTTGAAATATTCAAAACATCATTTTGAACTAGGTAATTAGCGTGTTTAGGTTGGTAGCAGCGTGTCGCTTACCAATTTCTCATACCGGCTGCCGCGCTTGCAAGCCGTCTGCAAGACGGGACGGCACTTATGCAAATAAACAAACTAAAGAGCAAAGGGGGTCTCAAATAGGTACTGAGATAGTTTTTTAACATTCTAGAATGATTGAAACCCTTCCGGAGTGTCAACAGAGGAAAATACGAAAACTAAATGTGAGAATGGTTTACGTGTTTCGTTCCCCTCTTCCCCCGTCACAGGGGAACAGGTCAGTGCATTGAGTGTAGTTGTGGATTGTAAATACAATGTTTTCTTTGCCTTTGTGTGCATCTACTGATTTTATTCTCTCTGATACTATCCTAATTTTTAAATTTCATAGTAAATCAAATCAGGTAAATGCATGAATAACTTCTGTTGAAATTAGAAGACATGTTAATTGTCTTGGTTTGTCTCGGGAAAATGACACTCTATTGCAATGCTGCAAGCTAACATCAATATTCTAGTACTTACATCTATTGATTAAAAGAATCCATAAATAGATGTATTTTGTGCAATAAATAATCCATATATTTAGTGCTAACAGATTTTGAACTGATATTGGGTTCAATCAGACGATTCAGGTTTTGAGCGGTGGGTGACTTGGTAATTGCTTTTAATGGGACGATTCCTTTCACTTCACCAAAGCTTGTGTCCGACAACTGGAACCAAGTATTGATAATGATTTAAAAGCTGGCTTTCTGAATGTAAGCCCAATGTTAAGACTATACTGTATTCTTTTACTCTAAAGATAAAATATCACGAGGCATGAATAAGGTAAATTAAGTTGGCGTATTAAGCAACAAGTGGCCTCTGCATTTGACTTCATGAGACGATTCACTGAATTTGACAAAACTTGTTCTCCGTCGAATGCTTCAGATCAGCCTGCCCTAAACTGAGTCACTTAATAAAAACTATGATTACATATTCCAGTCTATATTGTTTAATTCACTGGTTTTAAATGAAAGAATGACAAAAGGCTTCTCAAATATAACTAATAAATTTGTGAATTCATTAGTTTGAAGAAAAAGATGTATCGAATAGTGAGTCAAGCAGACGAGTAGCTAATTAAGCGATTCAATGCTGGCAATGGAATGTTACTCGACTGAAGGAATCGCATTGGTGTGGCATTTGAGTATTGGTGACGACAAAGGGTGATCCATGAAGACCAACCCAGACCCATTCTTTACCCATTATTGATCAATTTGATATCAATATTTTTCAATCGAATCTCATATTGATTCTTGGAGTTTTGGGAGTGCTGATTATGAAAACCACTTCCATCTCTACTCCAGACTTATATTTTCATCTCAAATTAGGACATTTCGGACCAAAATTTTCAGGTCGAGTTTTATATTGTTTCCTGCAGTGTTTGATGAGCTGAACTCAAAAATAACTTCCAAATTTTTCCCAGACTCACGCCTTACCCAATTTTGACCAAATTTGGACCAAAATTTTTGAATTGAGTTTGATGTTGATCCCAACAGTTTTTTTGTGTGCTGATGACGAAAATCTCCTCCATTTCGACTCCAGACTTATATTTTTATCCCAAATTAGGTCATTTTGGACCAAAATTTTCAAATCAAGTTTTTTTATTGTTTCCTGCAGTTTTTGATGCGCTGAGCTCAAAAATGACTTCCAAATTTTTCTCAGACTCACGCATTACCGAATTTTGACCAATTTTGGACCAAAATTTTGGAATCGAGTTTGACGTTGATCCCAACAGTTTTTTGTGTGCTGATAACAAAAATCACTCCCATTTATACCCCAGACCTACATTTCACTCAATATGAGCCCACAAGCTGCAGTCCGAAGTGCACAAATTCGCATCGCTCAGCCACACTACGCGCCCACACAAAACGGCGCGTACCCCTAGTTTAAATGTGATTGAGGTACCCACCATAGCCAGACATCTCAGGAAGGCTGTCACCAAATTTCGTTGTTCTAGGTCAAACCGTTTGGCATCCAGCGCTGCAACAGTGCGTCTGACCTAACACTCAAAAATGAGTTTTCAAAGAAAGCGCTCTACTGCCCTGGCAGATTGACTTTGTGTTGTTTTATACTTTATCTGTTAAAATATGAACAATTTTTCTCTTTCGGTTTGGTTTTTATGACGTTTTTACAAAAGCACTGTTTTTGGAGTGATGTCCCCCCTTAAACGCAGGTTTTCTGTATATTAATGGAAGTCCTTTGTTTATTTATAGAGGTTCCCTGTTAATTAGCAATAAATCTTCGTAGAATTATGAAGGTGCTTCGCAAATTTCGATTGTGCTTGCGAAATCAGCCAGAGTTCTTAAAAAATTTACGAGGGTTTTTGTAAATATGTAGAGAGCGTCGTAACTTAACCAAGGAATTGTTTGCAATTTTTTTGCCGAAGGATCAGGATCCATCGTTTATTCCGAACATTACAGTGTGGAATAAGTTATCTTGACAAAGAAACATCTGTTCAATTTTAACCCCGAGTCCCACAAGTTACTTCCACTTACCCGACATCTGTCACTTCTGCACTCGCCCTCATCCTCGCAGTGTTCTTCGAAATGATAACCGCGGGCCAACATGCCATATGCGCGGCAACTTAAGTGAGTCATCGATGCGCTGATTAAGTAAACCACGTACATAAAAGGAAAGGCAAACGATAGAGCCGGCAGTTTGTGCCTTGCGGTCGTCAAGCCCCAAACGATGGCTCGTCTCTCCGTCCTTGTTGTCACCCTGCTAGGAATGGCCGCCTGCGCCGCAGCGTGTATGTATCGCAAAAGCTCTGTGGACTTCGATTTTGTCATCCTACAAACGCGTTTTGTTATTTAACCTGACTTCAGCACTGAAATTTTAGTGAGAAATTTTTCTCTCCGTCTGCTGGTGAGAGTCAGAATTCTCACCAAATTTCGGCATTACCGGCTTCCACAAGTGACGGGACGGGGGAATACGTTGTGACCCACGGCTTTGAATGGCTAAGGCACTGAAGGGGAGACTGCATTTCATCCTGTTTGTCATTTGTTTGCGCAGGGCCCGACTTCAACACTCAGCACAACAAGCTTATTGGTAAGACCGTCCTCTTAGGTTAAATGCGCAGGGCTGGTTACCAAAAGCGAAATTAATTTTTACATTTTCTCGAATGTTTCCGAAATGTGCTGTCCCATCGGTGTCCTGTTTGCAGCTGTAGTAAGATCGAATATTGTCTGACACTCTGGCTCTGAACGACCAGCTACAAATTTCAGCTCATTTCGCACTTTTTTTTACAGTTTTCTGCGAAATTTTCAAAATCTTAAAAAGGTTATTGAAATTGTGACAAAATAAAATGTGAAAAGGGCGTAAATGAGTCTACATTCACAAGGCAGCCATTTGAATACAGATTTCAAAAAAGGCCTGCTCTACATTGAGCTGAAAACATGATCTGATCGGGCCACGCGTTCTGAAGTAAAAAATTGAATTTCGTTAAAGGTTGCTGACCCTAGTTTCGTCAGCGTAGACTCGTGAACACACAGTAAATGGTGAAATTGTGTAGTGTACTATCCCGTTGCATGATTGCGGATCGGTGAACAAATTGGGGCTTAACTTTGGTCCATGTCCAGCTGATTGACATTCAAACGAATGGCTCACTATTCACGCCTGAGCGAACGTGCAGTCATGTCCCTAGAACACTGGCAAGGCAAAATGGTCGATATCAACCAGTAGACACTTCCACCAGAGCGCCGAGTGAAGAACAAGAGGAATAACAAAAGCCGGAAACAGTCCAAAAAAGTCGCTCCTTTTATCATATTATGGGTTCATTTGGGTTCTAAAAATTATTTAAAATTATTTAAAGACGAGTTTTATGATTGTAAACCGTCAAAACCCATAAATAAGACGTTTATGGGAACTGGTTCCGGTACCATTTCTTCCTCTTGTTCTTCAATCGGCGTTCTGGTGGAAGTGTCTATTACATTGACACTCGCTTTATTTTAATGAAACGCCCTCATCGCAGTGACATTCGACATCATGCCTGATCCGTTCCACAAGAGGAGCTTTTTCGACATGCCCCGGACGCTTGAGGAGGCTGCTAAAGATGGCTGGAAGCTCAGTCAGTACAGGCAACATGACCAAACCGTCATCCACTGCCGCGGTAAGGACTACCGCGTGTGCCTGCTCTTCGACGAGTCTGGCAGCGTGGCGGGCATTCGCGTGTCGGTGAGTTTCAGTGTGCCACACTCACTGTAGGGTACGCGACGCGCCGTTCAGTGTGGGTGCTTGAGCGATGCAACTTGGCACACTTTTATGCAAGCGTGGGTGATCCAGCTCGTGGAGGGCGCCAATGCACGAAATTAAACATGCACTTCGTAACGCACGAATTTGTGCGCGATAATGCACGATTTCGTGCGCAAGTATGCAGAAAATCGTGCATTGTCGCGCAGACATTCGTGCGTTAGGAAGTGCATATTTAATTTCGTGCATTGGCGCGCAGAAAATCGTACATAGTAATTTAGTGTGAGATGAGAATATAAGTTTGAAATCAAACAAAAGCGAGCCAAAATCAGTATTAAAGGTCGGGGTGCGATAGCAAAGCTTGATGCCAGTAAATTTCACTTTTCTTGAACTTTACTCCACTTTTGCCACGATTCTGCCTCTCTAGATAAAGCGTTGAACAGCGCATTCAAAAATTTCTCATCAGAACACGTGTGGCTATAGTCTGAACCACGGGCATGCAGTGACAATAATTCTAAATTTGATTTTTTTTTGGAAAAGCACAAAGAGAACCAGTCTTTTTATCTATGCTTTTCCCGTTTAAGGATGCGCCTAACGCTTTCAAAGTGCAATGACCATTTTCGAGGTCTAGAACATAGAGACAGGGAACATTTTGCTGCCAACCGCATTCAATTATCTCAATTTTTCACCCTAGGGAGTGGCACGAGGGCCGAAAAATAGTGTTTGGAGAAAAGGCCATTTAAGTTGAAATATAGATTTAACGCGTTTTCCCAAAACACAAATGCGATTTTGGATGTATTTGAGATCGCTTTGTGCCAAATTGTTCCTTCTCCTAATCCCGATAGGAAAATTCACGCAGCAAAATAATTAGTCTTCAGAAAATAAAACTAATTTTTCATTAACATGGTTTCTGACGTGCCTCAAACGGTCCTAAATTCAATTTTACCAGGTTAGTCAATGGGAGATGAATAAAATTGGCTTCGACCTCGAGTACATTCCAGAATGGGAGCTGAACTTCGACCCATTGGCGTCTGACTGGGTGTACTCCGCCACCGTGTTCTTCCAGGCAAAACGTACGGCAAAGTTGGATTTTTTAAATAGCTATCGCTTTTGTGCCATACAGGGTGAGTTTTCTCGATGTGTCAATAATTTGTAGGCAGCTTGCGCAGCCCGAGGGGATCATTTTTCACCAATGAACTAGTGGGCACAATTGTCTAGGAACTGAGATAATTGGTATTTTGTAATGGGCGTTCGCACTTGCGAGATACGCACCCGCTGCCACTAAGGGTCACAGGACCTCACAAAAGGGTGTCGGGGGTCATGAAGGGATGCTTCGAGACTGGCGGGGGTGCGCCGGACCTTGCAATTGTCATTTCAAAGGAGTTGCCGAGGATCTCAAGTGGCTGTCGTGATGGCCTGCGAAACAATGGATCTCGCGGCTGTCTTCGGGAGGGTAGTGGGACTCCACGGAAACTTCCGCTAAGTCAGTGGCACTCCTGCGAGTACTGCGAGTCCCTTGACACCCCCTCGTGAGGTCCCGCCACCCTCAGTGGCAGTGGGTGCATACCACGTAGGTGCGAAAGTAAATTGCCAAACACTAATTATCGCCGTAACTAGACGTTTGCGCCCACTAGTTCAATGGTGAAAAATGATCCGCTACACTCTAAATATGGGGTGCCCAGCAACTGGGCGCCTTTGTCACCCGCCCCACTTTTTAGGGTGCCAAATGTCGCCCAGTTTCTGGGCACCTTTGTCGCCCAGTCTCGGGGTGGACAAATCATACAGTAACCGGCCCTCTCCCATGGTAGAGCATGCTCAGGTGTCTATATCCTGGGCGACTATGGTGCCTAGATTCTGGGCACCTTCGGCACCTCAGTCGCTGCTGAGCCATGGGTGAAGGCAGGTTTCTTAATGGTTTGTCCACCCCGAGACTGGGTGACAAAGGTGCCCAGGAACTGGGCGACATTTGGCACCCTAAAAAGTGGGGCGGGCGACAAAGGCGCCCAGTTTCTAGGCACCCCATTTTTAGAGTGTAGGGGTGCATAAGCTTCCTCCAAATTATTGACACTCCGAGAAAACTCACCCTGTAGTATCTGGCATATCTGGCGAGCGTTCAAAGAATTGTGATATGGTCTAGTTCCTTTTTCACATCATTAACCAAATTGCTATTGCAGATGAGCTTTTGAGTGGTGGCCGAAACCTGACAAAGCAGGACCTCACCGCACCCAACGGCCTTTACATCCTGCAGACAGACCAGGTGGGCTTGGAGATGAACCGGCTCCACGTGCCCAACCAACAGTCTGAGGCACTGTCAGCTGGCTTCACCGAGCAGGCCTGCTTCTTCGGGATGGGTGAGCTACGAATTAGGGTCAGGGCGGGGAAGAACTGAACAGGGGAAGAACTGGACACCCCATATTTAACTTCAAATACCGTATGCACAGGCATAACAACTATCCAAAGTAGTTCCGTGGCATCAGCGATTCATTACATGACAGATTTTAAGCCTGTGCATACGGCACTTTAAGTAAATGTGTCCAGTTTTTCCCGGCACTGACCCTGAGGTAACCAATTTTAGACCACATGAACGGCGGCTTCAATGCTTAAAGTCGATGCAACACGGTTCTACATTGGGGTTCGCGATACTGTCCACTTCATGCAGTTCTAGGCTCCGTTTTTTTCTTCAACGAGAACATAAATGAAATTAACTTCGTGACTACTAGGATTCCGTGAAATCGTATTTTTTGGGTTCGGAATTTCTCTGTTGGTGAACGGACACGGCGCTCCAAGCGCCAACTTGCGGTTGTTTTGTGAAACCTGACGCCAGACGGCTGTGACAGTTGACCAATACCCCTACCCACACCCACAGTTTACGTTTAACAAGGTTACTTTACAGTCGACGATGTCAAAATGGTTTGGGCGCTACGTTTATTTTCAGCCTCGATAATCTTACGCTAAATTTCGAAAGGATAAAAAGACATGGCTCATCTAAACCCAATCGAAGTTGGTGAAACTGGGTTCATCCGCTATGCATGTTTGCGGCCACAACGTCTTGACGGTCCATTTTTTAAAAAATTTGGAATGCGGTTTTTGTTATTTGCCGCAGAAAAGAACAACATTAAATATACAATAATTAAAAGAGCTCCGAGTGATGTTCCTGTTTAAAACACGTTCCAAGAAGCACATGTGGGCCGCTAAATAACGAATTCTTGACGCTTTTGTGACTGCAGGCAAGCACTACTTCCTGGACATGCAGAAGGACAGCAAGTGCATTGAACACCGCCCCTTCTTCACGCTGTACGGACCAAAAAGCCACGAGCTGAACGGCTTCGGCTTTGTGCAGTACGGCAAGATCAGGAAGGAGAAGAACATGCGGAACTGGTTCGAGTCCCCCACAGCGCAGGTGGCCATGGTTAGTAATCCCAACAATCCGAAATATCCTATTTGCACTGGTAAATGTGACAATTTTTTGGTTTGAACGTGAAAACTGCGATGTCAGTTTTATTTTTAACGTGACACTCAGTGAGAATAAAGAGTGTACAGCAGTGAAAATGCATAGGTTTCGAAAAACGACCATACTGAGAAAAGTAACGTATGTATTTGATTGATATTTAATTCTTGGGTCAAAATCATATAAAATCAAAGAAACATCAGTATGGGAGGACAGGCTGGCGATGTAAAGGCGGGGCGCCAGTGAATTTTATTTTTCATGGACTTCACGCCACTCTTGCCATGCTTCCACATCTCCGGATTCAGCCTCGAACACGGGACTGGGAAATGTCTCTGTAAGCTGCTTTCCGTGTTGGTTCTGCTAGGAGCCCGCATCACAATTGAAACAATACCAAGGGCTTCCGTGCCAAATTTTAATACGAAATGATCTTTTAGGGCTCCCTAGGGGTCCAAGCAGGACCAACACGAAGAGCATGAACAACGCGAACGAAGCCCAGGAATCATCTAAAATATTTCAAGTGCGCGCGCAGTCACGTGAAAAAAAAAGAACATTTTTAAAAAGTTCGCGTGTGCTGTGAAATGTTCGAAAGCCTATCAGTTCCATGCCCTGGCATTGCCTCATTTGGGAATCAGTTTTTAGTAAATCAACATTTTCAAAAAAATAAGTTAAAATAGTAGTTTTTTTTTATAAGAATATTCAAAGTCCGGTGGCCATCTTTAAATATTAAGTGACATCAAAAACCCGTATATATTCAGAATCACCACGAAAAATGCGACAATATGCGGGGGCTTACTCTTTGAATTTCTAAACAAGGGATATTCGACCACTCCTAGCGGAGTGGCTGTACCGGCCCACAAACTGAAACTCTTGGCTATGGCCGAAATATTGTCATTGCCCCTGAAAGTAAGGCAAATGAAGAACGGCGGTTCTGCATATTTAATCTCAGAATGAGCGTTCAAAAACGAATTAATTTTCGTTTTGGTTTTTAAAATCGGTTGAATTATAGCCAGGTTACGATATTTTTCATGGTCAAGCATTGTTAAAAGCTTTGAGGAGAAACGAAAAAAAAACAACAACACATATTTCTTGATCTTTGACGGAGAATCCAAATCCGGGCGGCGCTGGCTGATCACTTCATTTTCTCTTGGACCACCCTACCTTACTCCGCATCTTCGGTTGCAACTCTGCAATATCTTTGCGAAAACATTTCTTTTTAGAGTTAAAATAGAAGGTTCGGAGTAGGGGACACAATAAAATTATCTAAAATTTTACGCTCTTTCGATCTGTGCAAAGCATTTTGCCAACAACGGCCTGGTTTGCATCATTTTGAAGAAGACTGAAGTCTTTGCAGGTGCGGGGAACATAGTTTCATTCATTCCCTAGGCCGTTGCCAGCCCCATTTTAGCCGGATCCCGTCAAATTTTTCGTGCCACTAACTTTATTGAAATCACTTCTCTTGTCTTCCAGACAATCGCGCCCAATAGCCCTCCCTGTTTGGGAGAGTGGGTCAACAAGTATGGCCTGTTTACGCTGCACGTCTACTTCGTTCCCCACCCCTTCTTCACTTTCTGCTAATATGCCAGAGATTTTATGTTAAACCGAATTGTTTCCGTATAAATGTAAAACAGTGTTTATTGCATTCACAATGCAATAGCTCGTTAGTGACACTTTTGCTGAAATAAAAATGGTGCATACTTTGAAATGTTTTTGTCATACATTTGAAGGGCACTGCGACCACTGGACCCGGCCCAGAACTTGGTCCGGCGTTCTGTACAACTCTTGGCCAAGTGAAGAGCGGAATAAATGCGTTAATAATACACAATTTATTACACCTCTTTGCGCTCTGATATGCAATCATGCTCCCCGAGACTATAGGTCCTATAGTATAGAACGTTTCACCGTGTGCCGCTACGACGGGAAATGGCAAAGGTCATTCCACGTGAATCCAACGACGGTTTGGAATCGAGGTCGCCCTGATTCCGTAAAAAACTACAACTGTCTTGCTTCTTGGTTGTTTGCATCAAAACCTACATGGTTTGTCCCTCTCGTTCTTTGGCTCCGTACAGCCACGGAAGAGGTTTTTTGACTCCGGTTTAAAATGTCACTTCATCAGACTGTGAAATGAACACCTACGAGATTGAGTCGGGGGTATGCCCGAAAACTACTTTTGAAGATGACTAATTCTTAACTCTCCAACTGTCTTTTTGCCCGATTCAGAGTTACAAAGGCTTACATCACACTTATTTATCAAGCTGCATGTTGGGTCTTAGCTGGTTTTTGGAGAGGACATGTTGGTTTTCTTATTGTCCACGAAGATTTTTATGAATTGACCCCTTCTACCGGGAACTGTCCCCTATTTTTTGTCCTTCGCATTAGGACTCTTTTTTTGGCCCTCCGTTTTCGTTAACAAAGCAGCTGAAGTGCCATATACGAAAATTTCAAAACTTTTCTTCAAACAGATTTTGTAGCCGATACTTAGCCGGAGAATTGGCCGCGTCGTTCGTGACCCTAAGATCACTTTTGGTGCTTGCCCCATAGCATTTACAGAGAAACATGGAAAAAGTTATAATTATTCTTAGATCCGCAACACGCCAAGACCACTACATTGTTTATGATAAAACTTGCTAATCCCCGGGAAGTGTTTGGTAGATTGTGCCCTTATCACTCAAAATTATAAAAAGTAATATTTTTGGCATTCAACTGACCGATACGTATCCTCAAAGTCGCGATTCTAAACTCCGAAACATCTACACCCCACAACACGTGGCCAATGTTCAGCAAATTAAGGTGGGAAATACCCATTGAAGCCCCCTTTTTTTAATTTTAACATAAAATACATGGGAATTTTTCATTTCCTGAAAGTCAATATTTAGCGTTGCTGGCTGAAGGAACTCTTTTCTATAGGCGGACTTAGACAAAAATTCGTCAGAAAAATGAAGTTAGGGCCAACTTTAATTCGGGGCCCGAAAATGTACGTTTCCATGCAAACCACCCTTAACGACGCACAGTGGGTCAGAACCCCTATTTTCGTGATCACGGCCTCCTGCAAAGCCGTTTATGGACCGAATTGGATCAAATTTTAACTGAAGCTTCCTAAGAGGCCCCTTTAGAGATGGAAAAAGTCAGGTTTGCATAATTGTCGTTTAAAGGTATATTTGACTAATGCATAAATCCAATTAACCCTAAATTGTAAAAAGTGCTATTCTGTTGCATAGATTATGGTATAAGCAGGTGCTGTGCAAAATTTCAGGACCATAGGACAACAGAAACATGCATCTTTCGTCAATTTAAGGTTAAAATCCGGTTAAAATTTGGGTTTTTTACGATTTTTTGTGTATTGGTGTAAGGTGTATGGTTTATTTAGTGTATGATGTAAATGATGCACCCCAAACTAGTTCACACTCTCATTCCAGGAGCGTGACATCACGTTGAAACAAACGTGACAAAATGTCACATTAGTTTGAGCATTGTGTCACATTCGTTTCAACGTGAACAAGCTAATTTTTAGTAGATTCACATCCAAACGAATGTGACACAATGCTCAAACCGGCTCAAACGAACGTGACACTCTGTCGCGTTCGTTTCAACGTGATGTCACGTTCCTGGAATAAGAGTGCATTCTTATATCGAGCGTAGACTAGTACCAACAAGGGTGGACACGTCTAAGCAACCTGAGACGTTCCAACACGCACTGAAAAGTTTGTTTTAGCGCAGAGTCGTTTCAACGGTACCAACAAGCATCGTGAATTTTGGACTTGTTCCGACACGAGTTTTAACAAGACGGTAGAATTCCCGACACACACCGCCACTAACCGCAACGTTAGAACGTAGACGCGCACCGATAAAACGTTCGAAAACGTTGGAACACGTTCGAACACGTTGGGACAAGCTCAGAGGTGTTGGAACAAACGTATGAACTTGAACACATTCAGACGTCCGAACACGCTGGAACACGTCCGTACAGGTTTGGACACGTTCAAACACGTTCAAACAAGACTTTGTACTCACGAAGCAACATTAATCAGATGCGGAGAGGCGCTGAAGCCGATTTGGCAGCAAAAAACAACATAACTGTCAAAAACCAATTATTTTTAGAAATGCTTATAATTTTAAAAGTCGATGCAAAAAAAATTGCGGCTGAGTGCGGTTAAACGGCCGGTTGCCCGTAGTAGCTACAGTATCCACCTACCAATCCCAGTTGAAATGGTCGGGGGGTAAAGGGGGGTAACAGAGCTTTTCCTCCAATTTATGTCGAATTTGGGCATTTTGGGCAATATTTTACTTGGAAGTGTTGTCTGCAGAGCCCTTTGACGGACGAAGTTCGGGTCTGGTTCACTCACTGCACTTTTCAATTCAGTATTAATTAAAGTTCCGTGCTGGGATGCAGGTTACCTGGATTGGTTTGCATACCAACTGGGTGGAAGCGATAATGTGCGATTTACCCCAAATCATGAAAATATAGATACAAATTCTGACTTCGCGGCCCTGCCATTCAAATACGATGCGTCCTATCGCCAAACCGACGCTTGATCTGAGTTCAGTGGACATTTTGGAGTGGAGAACCGGTGTTAGATGGGTTCCGAAGTCACTTTAAATTTTGACCCTATGATCAAGGAAATAGGGGTTCTGACCCACTGTGCGACGCAGGGGGAATTTGGAATATCAAATCTGCATATGAATCGTCAGGGTGAATGTTTTCATTCCTCTTAAATGCGGTTCTTCATTTTGTAAGTCACCTGCACTCGGTTGGCTAGCAATTTCAATCAAGTCCGTCACTAGGGTCGTCTCGACTGCATGGCATGAACAGTGCGACGACAAGACGCAAAAAACGAGTGGTGCAATTTCCGATAAAATTGCTGTTTTCACCCTGTATATGGACGAAGACGGTTCCGCCGGGGTCATGATGCATCCGTAGGGTCACCACTAAGTTCAGAATAGGCACTTCAAGCGAAGCCCAAATTTGGGGGCATTCAGGAGGTCTACAGCAGATCAAATGGCCGAAAAACGGCAAAAAAGCCGATTTTGACCAATTCTGGGGCTCTGCATCGAAGTCAGACATGCCCCCACGACTAAAATCAAAGATCTTGGCCCTAAAAACACTCGTGCCAAATGGCAAAGCTCTATCACAATTTGCAAGGTTGATACGCTTAACAACCGCACTAGTGTTTCCGTACCCCGTGTAAGTCTGAAACGCCCGCTACCGTCGTTCACGCGTCCATTCTATCGTCGTCTGAGAACGACGGGACCGAGACGGTCGTACGACGGGGACCACGACTGGAGCACGACGAGAGAAAGACGACGGAACGACCATTTGAGGCGTCGCTCTAGCGTCTTGCCCCGGTCGTTGTATCGTCTCGCTTCGGTCGTGGTTTTGACGAAATGCGCTACCAGATCGCGACCGCAGAACGACCGAAACACGACGAAAATCAGCCGACGGTGGGCAAAAAAGAGAAAAGATGGACAGGGCCCGACGGGGAATCGACCCTACAACTTTGCTGCTTCTAAACCGGTGCTCGAAGCCACCGGGCCAGAGTGACTTCTGCGACTCGGCTCCAACTGTCTGAACGGTGACTCTGCATCCGGTGGTTTACCGCAGTGGACAACGATTGGGGACACTAAGACCAATTGTCATCCAGAGAGTAGTAACACATCGAGATGGGACTATGACTCTGGGATGGAACTTATAAATGTGGGAAAGTGGTGCACTAAGCAGTCGCCGTATCTTGGTCTCTCAGATAGTTGTTGTCCACCGCGGTAAACCACCGGATGCAGAGTCACGTTCAGACAGTTGGAGCCGAGTCGCAGAAGTCACTCTGGCCCGGTGGCTTCGAGCACCGGTTTAGAAGCAGCAAAGTTGTAGGGTCGATTCCCCGTCGGGCCCTGTCCATCTTTTCTCTTTTTTGCCCACCGTCGGCTGATTTTCGTCGTGTTTCGGTCGTTCTGCGGTCGCGATCTGGTAGCGCATTTCGTCAAAACCACGACCGAAGCGAGACGATACAACGACCGGGGCAAGACGCTAGAGCGACGCCTCAAATGGTCGTTCCGTCGTCTTTCTCTCGTCGTGCTCCAGTCGTGGTCCCCGTCGTACGACCGTCTCGGTCCCGTCGTTCTCAGACGACGATAGAATGGACGCGTGAACGACGGTAGCGGGCGTTTCAGACTTACACGGGACTGCGTTCCCGCATCTAATGTCGTTGGCGTCCACACGGGAACCCTGTTCCCGTGAATGGGCAAGGCCCTCGCGACCGTCCGGGCACGGGGTTCCCGGAATTTTTTTTTTTCGGCTGGTTGGTTTTGTTATTGCATGATTCGTGCTTATATCTAGTCGCGAGGTCTGGGAGATGCATGGTTTTGGTCAAAGCAGACTCCGTTCGTGAGGGGAAGTTGGCCCAAAACGAGTCCGGTCGTGAATGTGTTTAAGCGATTCAATGCTGGCAATTGAATGTTACTCGACTGAGGGATTCACAGTAGGGTGCGTCGATATGCACGACTTTTCAGATGCAGCTTTTGGGTAGCACTCAAAAGTTTCGTTTTTTTGTGCTGATTCCATAAATGACCGCGGTTTTGCGATAGGACAAAGCCTTCATGACCCTACCGGGCGTTTTATTTTAAAAAGCGGAGTTTTTGTATTTTTTCTTGTTTTTTGGTTCCGGATTTCATCCCAAACTGTCGGGGCGGCTGTTGCACGGTCGGATGGCCACC